GATTAATTGATCCATTTAAAACCATTGCATAATTTGTGCTGCATAAGGTTATGGAATCATTGGGGTTATGCACTTTCTCTGGATATTATGTTTCCTTGATCAGATTGTTACTTTGAAAATTTGTGTTTATTACTCATGCCTTGTCTCTGAAAGTACACTGAGATCTTATTACTTTTGAGCAGGTCACGATAGCCCCTAGAGCAGGTAGGGAATTGGGTTATGTTCGGATGAAAATGGATCATATGAAATTTAAGGGAGGAATGTTAAGGTATTCCATTCTTGTTTCTTCATGCATTTTAATTATCTGTCTTCAGAAAATGTTGAGTATTTTAATTGAATTAAACCTCAAATCCAATTCCCATGCCTTTTAAATATCATTATAGGGGTTATGAAGAAGGTGAACTAATTACATGTGTATATCATGAATTAGAATAGTTGTTGATAGTTTTTCAATATTTCACTCATATTAACTGGTAACATGCAGCCGGCAGTCTCTCCTTGATCATATTACTGTTCAATTAGCACCACGTGCAGCTGATGAGCTCTGGTATGGTGAGGATAAGGTGAGAATATTCGTTTCACATACATACAGATAAGTTCTGTTTTCGTGCTTAGAAGACAATAATGATGCAAAAGATATTTGTTATGCCTCATAAATCAAGCCTACCATGGTATTTTGCCACTTCAGGCAATTTCGGTTGAAACTATTGAAAGTTGATACAGTTGAGATACTCCCTCCATTCCATTCTCAATAGACTCAACACTCTTCTTTCCATTTGTGGATGTCCTTCAATTGTTTCTCTGTTACTTTAAAAGACAATATTAATGTTTTAACTTCCCTATATTGCTCGTAATTCACTAGCCTCCTCTGATGACTGTACAATGTAATAGTCTGTAAAGAATGCTGTCAGAAGATGGAAAGAAGAGAAAGACTGAAGTTTTTAATTTTGTTTTCTGCCTCTGATTGTAGTTTGCTTGCTGGTTTTTGAGAAAAACTGGGTTCAGTTTGTAAGTTTGTGGATTAGAATGTGTAAGAGATTATCTTGTATACCTGAATATTTTTCAATTCTGTATGTATTTGTCATGTTCCTCGTTCTAAAATTAATGATAGGCAAAACCCTACGTTAAGCTCCAAACTTACCTGGATTCTTGATTAAGCCCCTACGCTTTTATTAAAACAAACAAACCCCTGAACTTGGTAATTTGAGCAATTTAACCCTCTTTTTTTATGGTGGACTTAATGCTCATTTGTGTCTCATTTGCATGGATAAGGTATTGACATATCATTGCCTACATGGTGAGTATTAACCTCGTCCACACAAGTAAGGCACAAATAGATGTTAAGTCCACCATAAGGAAAAGGGTTAAATTGCCCAAATCACCCGGTTTAGGGGCTTATTTGCTTCAAAAAAAGTTTAGGGGCTTAATTGAGAATCTGGGGTAACTTCAGGGGGCTTAACGTAGGGTTTTGCCCTTAATAATATGCATACTGTTTTCATTTTAACTCAAGTTGATCATTCTTCAGCTTCTTGCAAGACATGATTTATTTTCTTGTTTTCAGAACCTGAATGGTTGAAAAAAAATTATTATTTTTCATTCTGGATTATGTAGTTTGAGCTGACCTGTTTGAAATATCTTAACATGCTTGTTCCAGTTGAGTACAATATGGGCTGAAACAGCAGACAATGCTAGGTCAGAAGCAAGGACATTTGTTATTGGTGGCCTGTCAGAAAAATATCATGGAATGTCTAATTTTTGGATCCCAGATCGAATTAATGTATGGCCTCTCTCTATATTAAATTCATGTTTGTATGTGCATTTATTGAGTTTGGCTTGTGGCAGTATTTGTGGAGTGTTTTGGGTGGAGGGGTTGGCTAGGTTTCTGCCATACCATAGTGGTCTAGTTGAAGCATCATGGCTTCTGTTGTAATTAGTTTACAACTCATATCACTCCCAGGACTGCAAGTTTCAGCTAACCCAAGAATTGACCTAATCCAATTTGATGCATCCCTTGCACTCTTCCATTTTGGTTCTGTATTTTTGCTTGCAGAACCCACTTGGATTGGATTAGTTCCTACTTCCTAGATGATGAGTTATATAAACCTCTCCAATCCACTGTCAGTTCTTTTCTTCAAAAACTGGAAACCTATTTGCATCAACAGTCTTGAACCTATTCTGCTTGAAAAGCAGAGACTCATTTGAAGTCCTTGGGTGTCTCCCCTACCAGATTCATTCTTCTGTAAACAACGCCATTCTGCCATTCATGCAAGGTAAATACCTGATTACAAAAATTCACAAGGTCAAAGATGGACAATGATCATTGATCATCATTATGCCTACATATGAGGTCCAAAGGGTTGATGTTAGATGTCTAGAGATTCCATTTTCCGCTTCTAGATCTCGAGTTTTTGCTCAGTTTGGTCAAATTTTGTCATCTAGGATGATGGGATTTTGTCATGCTTTGGTCAGGTAGGTAAGGTAAACTGAACTGATAACTTATGAGTTGGTGTGGGTAGCTAGTGTCACTTAAATACTTCTGTATCATTTATTTAGTTTTACCAACTAGTGAAGTGTACTTCTTTTCCCTAGTTTGACATACCCTCTGCCTGATAGAAGAAAGAAAAAAAATAAAGGAGTTGGACCTGAGACGATTTGGGAAGGTTGGTTTTGGTCAGTTTTGAAGTTCAATCTGGTTCAAGTCCATCCTTCTCCAGAAAACAATTAGCCCATGTCAGCTCTAGAAGTTATGTGTCCCAACTAGCTTGAAACAATGGTTCTTAGTTGCATTTCCCTTCTTCCTTCATAATCTCAATCTTTATTTCCCATCCTTGTAATAACTGGAATTGCAGAAGACTGAGTTGGCAACAGGCTTGTCAAGAACTGCTTTTTCTGATCCTACTGTGCTGTAATGCAATGTATTGCTTAAACTTCTGGATTTCAGGAAATTGATTCAGAGGCATTGCGGATTGTTAACTTGTGTTATGAGCGTGCAAAAGAGGTACATTACTTTCATTTCTTTGAAAGAAATACTCTATGGTTACTTGTTAGAAATATGCTCTAAAGAATGCATGGTTATTGTCTTCTGAAATCAGATTTTACAGCGGAATCAAAAGCTCATGGATTCTGTAGTTGATGAGCTTGTTCATAAGAAGAGTTTGACTAAACAAGAATTCTTCCGTCTTGTTAAGATGCATGGCTCACTAGAACCCATGCCACCTAGCATAATCGACAGTAGGGTCGCCAAGCGTGCTCAGTTCCAAGAATTGATGTTGAACCATGAGGCAACAACTTCAATTAGCAATACTTAAGCAAAGAGCCCATGTGTATGCCAATCAGTCCTGTGATCTACCTGAGCAATGCGCAGGAATCAAGATGTGTCTGTCTATTGTTTGCAGCAGCTAAATTGGTTAGGATGGTTACATCTCGGCTGCTAGCTGACCTTAAGCTTTAATTATTTTATGGTGCTGGAGCGTTCAATGGTCTGTAAGCTTATACAATCACGCCATGGGGAGCTAAGAAGCCAGGATTAAAGGTGGATTGTCATGACAGAGCTTCATTTATCTTTAATCTATTATCCATTTAGATTGTATAACTTGGTTTCTTGAAGTATATGGAATGATGATCTTCCCTTGAATAGGATCTTTAAGTTCTAAGAAATCCAATAGAATGATTAGATTTAATGGGATGAACATTACATTTTCTCCTTGTTCTTCTGAGTTCTTTTCCGCCTCAAGACATATGGAAGGCCAAAATAGGCCGGGGCCAACAAGTCCAACAAAGTAATACCAAATCTAGGAATTGGTGAAAAGTGGAAACTCAATGGTTCAAGATTTACATCTAAATGTTAAAAGTTTCAAGTTCAAATCTTAAGGAAATGAGTTTGGATAGACATTTGAGAAGTTGGCATATTAGAGAGGGGTAAACTTAATCTAGTGTACATAAATGCAGCACCAAAAAATCCAACGCCCAAAAAAGTCCCTTCTTTTTGAATAATTTCTTTTATAATTTTTTTTACTACATTTGATAATATGATACAGAATAAAAAATAGTTTTTCACTTCTCAAATCTTTCCTCAATTATTTTAGGATTTGAATTTACAACCTTTAATCTATAAGTTTAAGCTATTGACTATTAAAAGTTACCTATCCTTGGAAGGGCATTTAGCTCTAGGGTCAATGGAAGTATTGTGATTGAAAATTAATCCAATTTTGATCGGAAATGTAGGCTTTCATTATATTTTAAGATGAATTGGTATACTTTGATTGGCAGCTGCGGATCATTTGATTAGAATGAAGGAATGAGTACACTTGAAAGATATGAATTATTTGAAAAATAAACTTACTTGTTCTGTAGCAGACCTCTTACAAGATCAATTCGGATTAGCTTTGGTTTGTTTAGAAAATGTAGTTAGAGGAACTATAGGTAAAGCAAATGGGCATAAATTGATAGCAAAGCCTCAGAATTAACTTCAACTCCATTGACAACCACTTATAAATCCTTTTTCGAATTACATCCATTATCTCAAGATTTGAATCGAACTAATCTATTAATACAAACAGTTCATAGGAGATAAAAATTGAGTTATTTGAGTACTAGAGGATTGACAGGATGAGCAACCAATTTTTGGATATGAGATATCCTTTAAGTCATTGTGGGCGCATTTGCCCAATTGATTCGTCCCTTCTGGATTAGCGTTGGATTTTATTGGATCTTTAGCAATTCGTCAGGATTGGTTGTTCAGGGTCTCTAGAAAATCCATTTTGTAGAAAAATCTTTATCCATTTATCTTCTTGGCCATCTGTTGCTGTCAACTGACAATTCCGACGTAAATGGTCATATAATACTGCAGCTGGAAAATATGAGGATTTGATGGCCGCTGAAATTATTGATACTACAAAAGTAAGTTTTTGACAGTAAGTTGCTCCAACATTCAACCTACAGATCATTCACAACTGACACTGAAATTATTTGGGTAAATGGAATATGTAGTTCCCAATTATCACATTTATCTGTGCAATATGTGAGCCATAGTTAACATGTTAGTGTTGCTAGTCAGGTAAACATAGTTTTTACCTTCATGAACCGTCAGTTATATGGTTTACTGGTAAAATTATATGAGTCTTTAACTACAGATTTAAAATTTAATCTATAACCTTTACCTACGATAAAAAAAGGTTTCTACTTTCTATCTTAATGTGAGAATTTTAAAATGATTCAGCGATTAGTCTGATGTGCATGTGTTACATTGTTTGCGAGTAGAATATTACACAGCAGATTCCCTTGAAACTGCTCACTAAACATGCCCGTGTTTTGCTCTAACTGCATGATTGAGCTTTGAATGTTAGGCTGTTAGGTACTGTTTCACCTTGTATACTTTTAATGTTAGAAAGGTGGATTACATATACTAATTAAGCAATTAAGGTTTCAAATCAATCATCATCAATCATGCCCTGCCTTTTATATTGTTTTCAATTCAAATGATTAGGCAAAGCATTAAACAAAGCTTAAAAATCATGACAACCTGTGGCAGAAAAAGGGTCATTTTCTTCAAATATTTTGGAAAGAGGTACTCTTCTTACAAAGCAGGCCCAGTTGCATACAAAGTCACAAACATGATCAAACAAGAAAACCAAAGGATAAACAAAATAAATAAATCAAATTTTCCTAACAACTTTGAGGTGAGGAATTAAGCCACACAAGCTCTACCTAGAGGCAAATGTCCTGCCCAAAAGGGAAGAGAATGAGTCACTGATAATACCCTTCACCAACTTTATAGCTTGGCCATGCCCAGTCTTTTTCTCCATTTTTGCTTCCTTTATTATTATTTTTTTTTCCTTTTTTTTGCTTGGGGACATGCATGATTGTGGATTGAATATTTTGCTATGTACAGCTGTGTTTCAGTTGACAAAAGCTCAGAAGATTAAAGACGGAAAATTGATTAGAAATACTTGATCCCACTTGGAGATTTTATAACTTGGGGTGAAATAAATAATCATGTTTTTCTCTTCAATTATTTACTATTAATTAAATCCTTGACATGATGTCTTAATCAATGTGCCGTGAATGAATTTTTTTTTCTTTAATTACCCAATAAAATTAGTTAAATTTCTTGTTTTGTAATATAGTCTACAACATAAAAATTACTAGATATGAAATAATAAAAAAATAAAAGAGTCTACATCAAAATTAGGTGCAATTTTGTCTACTCAATAATTTTTTTTTTGAAATTATTTATTTTTTTGAGTTTTATATTTTGCAATTAATTTTGAAATTTAAATTTTAAATTAGTAAAAATCAATTCAATTAAGAGCATATTATTGAAATTTGTATAGATGTATTGAATATTTTGTTGTTCAAAGTTAAATAGACCTATTTTCATAAATACTAAATTTGAATACTTTTTGTAAGTAGGTATATAGAAGGTAAAGAAAAAAAGTTGATTAGGTATACAATGGCGCTGATTTGATTATCTTTTTACGACAAGGACATGATTGGAGAAGGCTAAAGCCTACATTTACATTTATGTGAAATTATCACAGTGCTTCAAGGAAGAGCGCTTTTTTCTTTTTTCTTTTTTTTTTTAACAAATTTGCATGGGCCGGAATCGAACTGTTACCTTAGGGGGTGGGGGAATGCACCTATACGTAATCTGACGTCACTAGATTCAAAAGCTAAAGTGCGTGCTTCAAGGAAGAGTTGAGCGGCGTTTTACGTAAAATTGACATCAATTTTAAGTTATTTACTTTGACTTGAATAGTTGTAAGATTAAAAGTTTTAATGTGAGGATAAAAGATTAAAAGTAATGAACTTAATAAGATGAGGGGTTAAATGTAGGTTTTTATTATTTTTAAAGTGTTCATTAGTAAAATTTTATATTAAAAATATAATAAAAAAATATGTAAAATAAATATAAAAAGAACTATTTTACTTATTATCAATTAATTTTAAATGAGATTCAAATTTTATATTGAAATTTATATATATAATTTTCACGTAAAAAACATGATTTGTCGATTCAATTCTATTATCAGTAACGCTAATTTTTAGCACAATGTCTAATACAATAAAATATATCCTTACAGAAGTGGTTGTATACAAATTCATGCATAATACTGAAAAACTTTCTCCCTTTGGAATAGATTTGCGTAGTTATAGGAAAAAACTCAATAATTTACTAATAATCTGTTGGTT